AAATCCGTTTTTTTTTTTTTTTTTTTGCTAATCTCTTTCATAAATGCTGAGAAATATCTGTCAAGTAAATTTCTGTCCTTCTGTATTTAATTTCTGTTAAGAATGGTCCATTTTGTTACATCAAAGTGTTTCAGAATTAAATCCTCGTCCTTTTTCTCCCTTCCAGCAGAAGTAACACTGAAGGGTAACAGAAAAGACAATTTGTCTAACTTGTCTATAAGTTTTCAACACTTTATCTTCGCAGTTGGTTCAACATGGCCACAGCACTGATCTGACTTTACTGGACAGAAACGGAAAGGAAAATAAATGTATCTTCGTAGTACTTTGACCTTAAAATACCACAAACACCATCCATCTTCTTGTGTTATTTGTGTTATTTTCAAATTGAATCACTCAGCACATCAGGTCAAAAAGTCAGAGGCCACCATTTCTTCTCCCTGCTAGCAGGATAGAAAGTTTTGATAGGAACAAGTGTTTGCTGATTTTTTTTTTTATTTTTTTTTTAAATGTAGTTTTAGGCTTTGGTACATACCAAGATTTTAATTTCTATCTGAAGTATTTAGAACGATACATTATTTTTTATGAGAAATACTTATCACTTTCCACCCATGTTACTAGTCAAATTGCTTCTGTTTTCTAGACAAAGAAAAAGCTGGGTTTGCAGTCCGTTTTTACTAAAAACTTGATTTGTTGGTTCTATTCTTTTCTAACTGATATGAGTAAGCAAAACTCCTTTCCCTGCCAGGAGGGGCATGTCTGGGTGTATTTCTTTCATAACCGCGCTGACAAAGATCTCGGGCTTTGGGCCAAGAGCAGTATCTTCCGGGGTCACTTCAAGTTCTGCCTAGTTGAAAAATTTAGCAATAAATGTCATGTCATTATTTCCAGATGATGAAGAGTTACTGTGTCTGAGGGACCTCTGGGGAGCTGTCAGCGTTGGCAGTGGGTAGCACACAGGTTTTCTCTGAAGGCAAAGGTGTTGGGTCCTGTGCTCATCGGCCGGTAAAGGGAGGCAAGACCATGTAGAGTGATGCTGAGTCAGACCTAGGGGAGGTCTTGCTCTTTTATACCACTGTGAAAATCAGGAGATGTTTCCTTTTTCTCCAATTTCTTTCCTTTAACATTTGGATTAAACTAGTGTTTGAAAAAAATTCACAGTAAAAGAGCAAGAGCTGCTCCAGAGTAGTCAATGGCCAGTGGTTGGCGTTTACTGGGGACAAGTGTACTTTGTAAATGTACCAGTCGTAAATTTGACCAGGTTAAATAAAGACAGACTATGAGTCTCCTCAGCTCTCCCTTTTCTTTTTGTGTCCCTCCCATCCTATCTGCTCCTCAGCTTAGAAAACATTCCCAATAAAGGTTCAATCAAAACAGCACTCTCCCGTGGAGTTTTAGTTCAGATGAAAATGATTTTGCTGATAAATTCCTTGAAACTCCAGAAATGTGAAGTGATTTTACCTGAAGGGTAATTTATTATAGACATGTTGCCCATTAATTGAGATAATCTTCAACAACGATGATGAACAGAGATGATCAGGGATTGTACTTTTAAAATGCCATTCTGACTAGAAAAGCAATTTGGGATCCACTTACATCTCAGTAATGAAAATTGGGTAAGGTAGTAAGAGATTTCATTTTGTGAGCGAATTGACAATGCAAATACCAGGATTTTTAATTTAGGTTTAAGTGGAGTAATGGCTACTCATTCTGATGCATCATTAGTCATATTGCTTTTTAATGAGGAATTCACTTTCTTTTCCTGGTTAGCTCTAATACTGATAGCAAAGCCTAGTGAATGCGTAAATGTTTTGGGAGGTCTGATGAATACGTGTCACTGCACAGTTTTAATTTAAAAAAGGAAGAAAAAGCAATTTTACTATTATGGTGAAGAAACATACATTTGCTCTTAGTGCAAAGAAAATGAATAGTGCAGAACTGGGACTGGTAGACTCTTGTACAAAATACTTGTAAGATACTCTTTGAAACAAATTCTAGAAAATATAGGCAGAAAATTGTGTTGAGTGGAGTGCTTGTAAAAAGGGCTGGCTTTCCTACTGCTGTGAGCAGTAGGAAAAAGGGATTCTTTGGCCATCTCTGACATGGATGTGTTACAGATAGTGGCAGATGAAGATTCTTCTTGCCCTATCAAAGCCACTCCATACCCCAAATGCTTCATTACTCTTCTGCATAGACCTCTGTCTGGCATTTTTATTTCTGAGATGTCTTTTTCTTTTCTTTTTCTTTTTTTCCTTTTTTTCCCCCTTTCTTTTTTTTCTGTTTTTTTTTTTTTTCTTTTTTTCTTTTCCTTTGTTTCTTTCTTTCCTTTAATTAAGAGCTTGTTTTGATGTTCGTTGAACTCAGTGGGAATCTTTCCATCAAATTGAATGCATTAGGTCAGACTCATAATCAGCAGTCACTGAAACAACCAAACAATAGTTTTGTCACACACAAGTGCACTGTCTTAAATGGGATTTGCTTAAAAAAAGCAATAGAACTAATCCATTATGAACACTTGTTAGAGCAGAGTTTTGACTGTATCTGTATATTTACCAACACAATCTCAATCAATTTAAGCCAAATTGAAATTAATGCAGACTCTTGCTCCAGGCAGGAGCATAGGGCAGTTAAATTAAATCAGTTTAAACTAGTGAATTTTTAGCCCCTGCAGTACGATGTTGTGTGTTGACCAGGCTTAGGTCTAGTTCCCTCACTTCTTTGGTGGGTGAGGCGTTTTGACTTTATATGAGAACGACCTCTAATGTGGTGAAACACATGCTATGTCTAATTTGACCAGCCCATTCAGAGTTGGGACCAAGAGAACAAGCTTTTGGGAGACAAATGTCCGCCAAGTCTCTCTTTCTCACGCCTCTTTCTACACTCCTGTTTCTCCATAAGCATGTGGCACCTTGCATGTCACAGTTTGATTTACAGAAACCTGAAGCAATCCAGAGGCTCTAAACACTGGTAAGACGCTGCATGTCCTTCTGGAGCGGAGCCTTCCAGGAGATCTGTGACCTCTGTCATCTCCAGCACAAACCTACAACCTCACGTTTTCACTCTGCTGTTTTCCTCTGCTTTTCCCTTGCCTGTGCAACTGCCCATTCGTCACAGATGTCACGAGAGGTGCACGAGCTCCTGACCTGACAAACCAAAGGGGTGGGGAGCAGGAGGTTGCTGTCCCCGTGCACCCCGTGGTGCACGTACAGTAGTGAAGAAGAGGTTGCACAGAGCAGGGCAGTTGGAAGCGTAACCAACCTTTCAGGGTAACCACCAAGAAACCCCCCCTACACGTCACGTGCCTGGGACAATGCCAGTAAGGGTCTTCTCATCATCTTCCTTTGTGACCTTCCTTTGAAATTATTTACCTCCTAGGCATGGTGGAGGGAACTCGGTTTTCCAGCAGTCACTTTTCAGCTTCAGAAGGAGTTCTCTCTCCTTCAGATCTTTCTGTCTCTGACTCTATTGTGAAACGTGAAAGAAATGTAGGCCACGATCTTCTCCGGTGCCACCTTGTAAATTCAAGGGAATCCCAGACATCCAATATGCTGAAGTCATTCCATATCACTTGACTCCAGGTGAGGCACGAGAGTTCCCAGCGGGTTGGATGATACAGGACTAGCATCCTTTTCTTATGGTGGCTTTCTTGAAAACTGCCCTTCTCTTCACAGCTTGTAAAAGGAAAGTTGATAGTGTGAGTGTGCCAGAATGGTTGTGAAAGCACCGGGTCACAAAAGCTGAGCATCTCCTAGACAGGCCACGTAGGTACAAGAAAATGTTTCTGATGCTGATAGAAAATGATGTATCCACTCTGAATGCACCAATTCTTCTCTGATAAACAGGAGCAAGCAATGGAAATGAACTTTCCATATTTCTAGAGATCTATGCACAGCCACAGTCCCCAAAGTCTCAGTTATGGTCAGGTCTTTGGGGTTACTGAGGGGGTTTGTATACAGTTGAGCTGATTTATGAGATTTCCTATTAAATTTTATTGCACCAGTGGCTTTTCTTTGGTTCTTTTGAAGTAGAAAACATCATTTCTGCAGCAAATCCAAGTCAAAAGTCTTAATGGAGCATAAAACTCTGAAAGGTCATGATTTTATAGCTTTAAAATAGAAGACAGTGCACTGCTTGATACTCTTAAAAATACAAGAAGTTAACGAGGATATTTATCAGTAATAAAAAGATATAATCTTCTCCCAGACCCTTGATTTTGGCTACTTGTGTATTGGTTTTTTATGGGTATACTTTCACAAATGAGAAACTCTTCTTGTTCTGAGACTGTCCCATTTCAGAGTCACGGAGGGAGAGAATAACACGAGGCAGAACCTTTGTCACAGGGCGGCTATTCAGTACTCTCGACGCTTTGCTTCTCCCTTTGTATGCAGACTATTGATTGCATTCATCTGGTTCCTAGGGTCACATAAATTTCCTTTATTTATTTGACTTTTTTTAAGGCTGGTGGGTGCATGCAGATTTATAACCAAATAAGAAACTGTTCCCGTCACAGATATTTTACAAGCTTAGGTGAATTGCAGCAGCACTGTTTACAAACTCTCATTGCATTCCACATGCAGGTGATTGGAATAGCCAATGCTGTTTTAAAAAGAAAAATCTAGAAAATGTCTCCTGGTGGGTTTCTTTTGCTGATATTGTTTTAATCTGAGGTCTTAAAAATATTCTTTCATTTGCATTTTAGCAAATGTTTTTAATTAACATGTATGAACTTAGATAAAATGAAAATGTTTTCTCGTTGTATTGCTTAACGGAGTAGACCTTGAGTGGTTCCACCTCCAGCTGCTTGCAAATGGTTTCTCCAGGTGTGGACATGGGAAAAACATTTTATTTCGATGGTCACCATAGCTGCTGTTGCAGGGAGAAAGAAGTAAGGGGAACAGGTCACGGGACAGAAGCGGTTGTGGGAAAAGCCAATACAGCAGGAGGGGCACAGCTTTCCTTCTTCTCGTTAATGCTGACTGTCATGTTTTCTGTCCTCTTCGCAGCAGTCCAGCACGGGGGACCTGAGGACTCTGAGGAAAGGGTTGTCCCCGTACCACTCTGAGTCGCAGCTCTCATCCCTGCCGCAGTATCAAGATGCCCTGCAAAACGTAAGAACCATTTCTTTACTTATATAGGTAGAACCATGGGTTTCCTCGAACGGGGGCATGGCTGGAGGGGGGCACACAAGATTACAGGGGAGCTCTCCCAGCTGAGAATTCACCCCAAAACCAGTGGTGCAAATGTGCAGCTGAAACCTGCAGCCGTAGGGAAGATGGGCAGCCCCTGGCAACGTGGATCTGTACCTGTGGTTGGGTCATCAGCTTCCTAAGCATCGGTTTTTCAGTTAGCTGACAGTCACTGTTGTGCATCTTTTAAAGCAAGGGTGAGTCCTGTTACACCTGCAGCTCCTCCTTTGTAAATGCCCTGTATGCCTGCTGTCAAAAAGCTGGTCGTGGATGAGGCAGAAGCTGGTTTGCCAAGTGTCTGGCAGTGCGTGGTCGGGGTTGCTTTAGCGATTAAGTTCTTAGGACTTTTCATTGCAGGTTTTTCTGTATCACAAATGAGGTTTATGTTTCCCAAGATTTCCCCGCGTTGCTGCTTCTCAAACAACAGGAGAATCTTGATTAAAGCCTCTTGCAAAAGACTGATACTGTGCTGCTGTGCCAGGGCTCCTCCTGCCAGCAGAGCTGTGGGTGCTCTAGGACCAATTGTGTGTTGGCTGCCTGCTTGAGTAAAAGTTGTTCAGTAGGCTTAGCTTGCCTCTTAGAGTTGTAAAAAAATGGGGTAATAATAATTTAAGAAACTTCGCATAAATAAAACTCTGGAGACTTCTCACACCGCTCCCCAGGGCTGTGGGAGGGCTGGCAGCAGACGGTGCTGCCTGCTGCAGCCCTGCCTGCCCACTTGTCCCTGCTTTCCTCCTTCCTCAAGGAAGAGGTGGCACCTGGCGTTTATGGAGAGGCCCGGGTGCTGCGTGGCACTTACCTCCATCTGTCACCCTGGCTGTGTTCTCCTTCTTTGCAGGAAGGTGATTGAGAGAAAAACCAAAACCAGCTCTGGACCCAAATCCACATCATCTGGGAGACTTATGTAGCTATTTATTTATTTATTCCTGCCAAAATTCCTTTGGGTTTGCGGCTTTACATGATATATTGGATACCCATCACAACAGCATGCAGATGTCTTTGAATGTCTCAGGCACCTCCCAGAAAGTGAACGATTAAACGTACCTGACTTTCTCTGCAGCCTCTTTTTTTTGACAGCAGGCATGAGTTTGTGAGAAATCGTTCCTCTTTGTGCCTGCACAGGCTTCAGGCGGGTGAGTGATGGTGGACAATTGGTGCCGGCTCCAAAGCTGTCACATCTGTTCAGGGTTTCATCATCGCCACTGCCTGTGCAACTCTTTGGGGAAGTTCCTCAGCACATCCCTCACTGTCAGACCGTCTGCACGTAGGCATCACTCCAGCTCTCCATGGCCCTGATGCACCTCGCTTGATGGAACAGTTGGTTGTGTCTATTGGATCCTGGGTCATGGACACTCGTGCACATTCAAGACACAGAATGGAAAGACACTCGTAATTGCAACCTGTGAACTCTTTAGTCAGTGGTGCATCATGTGGATGGTGAATTGTGGTCTGCACCACTTACCAAATATACAGGAAAAGAAGTCCCATGGGGTTGGTTCTTACCTACAAGCCCCTGGCCATTGCAAGGGAAGGTGTGACATTTATGTTTGGTTGAAGTTGTAGCAGGCTGATCGAACTCTCCAGCCCTGGGAACTTCAAACTGGAGTCATCCCGTGGTGTACTGGAGGCTCCCTGTATCTTTTGGGAGGTAAGGATGATTCCCTCAGCTTCTGAGCAAGGCATGAGAGGAGGTGGCAACAAGCAGCTCCCCCTGGAACCTGCTGTTCCTCTGGGATGAGAGGGGCAGGCTCCAGGGCAAGCTGGTTGGGCTGGATCGATCCACCAGCAGCCTCCAGACCAGCTCAGCCTTGAGTCAGATGATGTCTTGGGCATGGAAGCCAACTTTGAGTTATGTGTAGGCGTTGCACTGCTGAGGACCCGCCGGCCAGCCTGGTGTCTGGGTGTCAGTGATGGAATGACCCCACAGGATCCTTGGAGGGCTTGTGCTTCCATTCACTAGTCTGAGCTGTTGCTATGTCTTCAGTCCTTTGGTTGTCCGTGGTAGCTAGAACAGATTTTTTCTCTCATGTTGCGTTTGTGTCTTACCTGCTCTGCATGTGTTCCCTTCGTGGCTCCTTCATGGGGATGTGGCAGCACTTGGGATGAGTTATTGCACTCAAATTAGCAGCCCTCTGGTTTACCACAGGAAGCTGTTGCTACAGGGGTGTCTCAAATGTGCGGCTGGAGAGTGCAGAGAAGGTGATTCTCAGTCTGTCCTGGAAACTCTTCCAGCTCAGTGCTTTTCTGGAGTTTAAAAGTACCAGGTGGGAGTTACTGACCTTCAGTTTTGTTTGTTGGCATTGTCCGAGGAGTCCAGATTGCCTGTTCATATAGGCTCACCTCTAGTTAGTGAGACAGAAATTACATTTCAGTAGAGTTTTAGAAGAGTAACTGGTTTTGGGAAATTGCTGTTACAGGGAAAAGAAGGAGCCTTGTTGGCGCAGGGCTGTGAATAAGGACTGGGAGCTGTGACTGCCACCACAGAGGGACTCTGCTCTCACAAACACCTGCACCGTCTTTCACCTCTCCATCCCTCAATTTTTCCCTTAAAGGAATTGGTTGGGAAATCACCCATTCCACAGTATGGTTTTCAGGCAGGTCTTTATCACTAGGCTAAATAGCACTAAGTGCTCCAGGGTGCACACTAAAAGGGCCTGTTTAATTTTTGGAACAGTATAGCGTTGCTGAAGAGTTCACTTGTTTCTCTCATGGGCTTTCTCCAGCATTAATCTAATGATGAATGAAGACTGGGAGGGGGAGTTGTCTGCACTTGGTGTCAGAGCTCAGGTCTCTCGCTCTCCATAAAGCTACCCTACACAGTGCTTAACCTTTGGTCACATCTAATGATAGCTGAGTTACATTCCTGACACGGGGAGAATGTATGGGGAGAAAGGAAATTCCCCATCCACAGCGGTAAGGCTCTTATTTTGTTACTAATAGTCACATTTCAGCAATTCGTTTTCTAAGAGGTAGAATCTCAGCTGCTGACTTCTGGAGCATTGGAGGCCCCTGTAGCACAGCTGGGGATGAATGCAGTGGCTGAAGCACAACCCTGAGCTTGCACCTCTGTCTCTTCTCCGATCCCTTTGGCCTCTTCTTGGCCACCCACACGGACAACACAGCCCCAGCAGCCCTTCATGTTCCAGCCTGCTGTCCCTCAGGCGTGTCTCAGTGCCCAGGCCTGGGAAGGTGGCCTGAAGGCTGTTTGAGTTCCTGTGGTTGGAGGTACCTTCACCTTGAGAAGCTCATAAGCCAGCTGCCTGAAGGAGCCATTTATCCACATTAGCATAAAACACCATTAAATATGAACCAGCCTGTTACTAGCGGTCAGAGCTAGCCTGGCTGGCTTAGATTTAAAATTTACTAATCATGTGATTTGCAATAGGAACCCTGCCGTTAGTGGAAGTAACTGTTGAGGTCGTTAATGGAAAGGTTACTCTGGATGGAGTGTGAGTGGAAAAGCGTGTGTGAAAACACCAAGAGGAACGCTAGAGCGGGGATGCAGGGAGGGGTGGCCTGTGCTGGTGACCAAAGACCCAACTGACAGCAAACAAATGGGTAAACAATGTGGGATGTGTGGTTTGCATCAAGACCAGGAGGTCTGCGATGTGATAAGGCCGCAGCACAGATGGCTCATCGCTAGAAGACCCGTTTGCTGATAACGGCAGCAGGGTTACACTGTGATGTGCCATTGTGCTTCCTGTGGTTCCAAGAGGAAGACTTAGAGATAAGATGCCCAAAATGAGGGAAAGGAGACAACAGGCAACAGCTCTCCAAGGGTTTATGGGGGGTGAGTAAGCAAGACACTGAGATAAAGATCAGCCCATAATAACCGTTGACCCCTAAAGCATGTGAAAAATGTGTCCAAAACCCAGTTCTTTGCTGTCAGGGAAGAGGGATGCCAGAGCTGTTGTCAGCACAGCACAGTGACCCTCCCACCGCCAGCATGGAGCCCCCAGCCCCTTGCTGTGCTGCATGAAGCCCCTGGGCACGGAGGTCCCCGGGCTGCCTGGTGCCTCTGGCATCCCGCAGGGCTGCTCTTTGTAGCTTCAGCATCCACGTTGCAGCCTCTCAAAATGTCTTCAGCCCCTTCTGTTGCTCCACCAAGCCCATCTGGCAGAGCTCCCTGGTGGTCCCCTCCATCCTCCCACCCACGCCCCCAACCCATGGCTGTCAGTTGAGCTGGGTGCTGCTGGCGTGGGTCAGAGGATGACCCCAGTCCTGTTCCTCGCCTTCCCCTGGCAGCGGTGATGGCCACAGACCCTTTTTAGGCAGGGGGAAACAATGATGGAGGAGCGTGGCAGAAGGCAGCTCCTTCCTGCCGGCAGCACCGATGCCACCGGGATGCTATTGAGCAGACAAAGAGAGAAACACAAGGCAGCCGTTTCGCTGCTGCAGCGACGGCGGCTGGGGAAGGGAAAGCAAAATGAAAGGTTTGTCGGGATTTGCAGCCCGGGGAGCGCTATTGTGAAGCTTCAGAGCGCGTTACCAGCAGCTGAGAGCAAGCCCATCCATCTTTGAAGGCAGCTGCCCTTCATCAGCAGTTATTGCAGCGGCTCTGAGCGGCGGGTGGCTTTTTTCCCCACGGCGGCCGACCGGCACAAAAGTTTGGCAATGACAAAGTTTGGGGATTTGATGAGCAAAAGAGACACTGACGGGCTGTATCCACAATCCGCCCTTACAGTTATCCACAGGAGGTGAGAAAAATTCAGCTGCTTTGAGGATCTGCTGTAGGTTCTCATGGTTACTTGTCGCGTGTGTTTGTGTGGGGCTGGCAATGGGTCGGGGGAGAGATGGGCCCAGGGCAGACCCTGGCTCTGCCCCAGGCCTGGGAGGAGGCATCTTCCCCAGCGATGCCCAGGGCGGCCAGGCTGAAATAGAGAGCTGGAGGGGCAATACAGGTATCCTCCCACATCCCAGAG